GTTAGGGAAATGCAAATCAAAAGCACAATGAGACACCACCTTACACTTGTCAGAACGGGTAGTGTCAAAAAGAAGTAACAAGTATCAGAAAGGGTGTGGGGAAAAAAGAAACCATCCTGCACTACTGGTGAGAATGTAAATTGGTGCCGTGGAATGTAAAGTGCCACTGGTGAAAACTGCTTGGAGGCTGCTCAAAAAATTAAAAATAGAAATACCGTATAACCCAGTAATTCCACTACTGGAATTTACCCAAAAAACCCGAAAACATTTATTTGAAAAGATATATGCACCCCTATGTTTACTGCAGCATTATTACAATAACCAAGATACGGAAGCAACACAAGTGTCTACTGACCAATGAATGGGTTAAGATGTGGAGTCTCTGTGTGTGAAAGAGAGAGGGAGAGAGGGACAGGAGGAGGGGGGAGGAGAGAGAGACAGAGACAGAGATTACTCAGCCATAAAAAAAAAAAAAAAAAAAGAGAGAGAGAGAGAGATCTTGCCGATTGTGACAACATGTATGAACCTAGTGGGTATTATGCTAAGCAAAGTAAGTTAGACAAAGACAAATACCATAGCATTTCACTTATATGTGGACTGGTAAAAATAGTAATAAAAACATACCAAAAAATGGGGACAGATCCATAAACACAAAGAGCTATGGCTACCAAAGGAGAGGATCATGAGAGGATGAGCAAAATAGGCCAAGGGTAGTGGGAGGTACCAAATTCCAGTTTTGGAATGCAGAATTCATGAGGATGAAAGAAAGGTACGGCATAGGGAATATAGTTAGTAATATCATAACAGTATTATATGGTGACAGACGGCAGCTACACTTTGAGTGAGCACAGCATAACCACTGTTGAATCATTATGTTGTACACCTGAAACTAATGCAACACTGTGTATCAACTATACTTCAATTAAGAAAAAGAAGACTTCAGAAAAATGCTGAAGGGGCCGTGTACATGCTCATGCTTACATATCCCATGAAACATGCTGCCCCCACATGCACCCAGGTGTAGGGGAGAATTGACTCAGAGTTGAACAGACATAAGTTAGAATACTTTCTAGCCACATGTGAGCTACCAAAATCACCTCTGATGAATTCCTGAACCATTTTAATCATCAGTCTCCTCACTTACAAAATGGCAGGAATAGTAACTCACGGACATGGCTCTATTATGTTACCCAATGTGGGCAAGCCATATCCCCTACCCTCCCCCTCTATGCTATTATCTCATGTACCTTGGTGCATATGTCTAGGAGCTCTCTCTGTCTAAAACTCTATCCCCCTCCTTCTGTGTCTGGCTAAAGTGATTTATCAACCTTCATTAGCATATAATCCAAAAAGGTTGCCTTGATACTACCATTCCTGAAGCTGATAGGTGCTCACTGCTCCCTCTGTTCTTGTGCCTCCTTCTTGCATCTGGAAGGACCACTCTGCTCAGTCGCCGCCCCCGCACCCCCATCCTAGGCAGGGACATTTTTGAGAGCTCCCCGGGTCTCCACTGTGCCTGGCAAACAAGGTCTGGTGGATTTAGTGAGCAGATGAAGAGAAAGTGTTGGCAAAGGAAGAACTACTGGGAATATACAGGACCCAAAGGCTACAATGTACTATAAGAAGGAGAGATTTCAACAAGGGGAAAACCAATACCATCAAGTGCTGCAGAGAGGTCAGGATCTAAGACAACTGAGAAAAGAACAATAAACTTAGAAATGAGATCTCTGGCAGCCTATGAGAAGGTTGGTAAGAAGACCCTATTATGTTACCCAATTTGGGCAAAGATTAAATCTTTAGGGACACAAAAAACCACAAGGGAGGTTCATAGTTTCAGGTAAAGAATAAGTGAGATTCCCACTGGCTGAGCCGAGAGAGAGCATAGACCAGACAGAGTCATGGGGAGAGCAAAGGGTGGGACATCCACCATAAGAGACTGAGAGCCCAACAGAAAATGGGTTTCTGGGTTGCTTGGGTGGTGGCTTACACAGTTAAGTGTCCAACTTTGGGTCAGGTCATGATCTTGAAGTTTGCAAAGTTCAAGCCCCGCATAGAGTTCTCTGCTGTCAGTGAGGAACCCACTTCAGACCCTCTGTCTCCCTCTCTCTGCCCCTCACCTGCTTGTTCTCTTTCTCTTTCTGTCACCCTCACTCTCCCTGCCTCTCAAAAGTAAACAAACATAAAGAAAGAAAGAGAGAGGAGGCACCTGGGTGGCTCAGTGGGTTAAGCATCCAACTTCGCCTCAGGTCATGATCTCGCGGTTCGTGGGTTCGAGCCCCGCATTGGGCTCTGTGCTGACTGCCAGCTCAGAGCCTGAAGCCTGTTTCAGATTCTGTATCTCCCTCCCTCTCTGGCCCTTCCCTGCTCACGCTGTCTCTGTCTCTGTCTCTGTCTCTCTCTCTCTCAGAAATAAAATAAATAAATAAATAAAAACTTTTAAAAAAAGAAAGGGGGGGTAAAAAGAGAGGAGAGGGAGGAGAGGAGGAAGGAAGGAAGGAAAGAAAGAAAGAAAAGGAAAGAAAGAAGAAACTGGGTCTCTGAGAAAGGGGGGATAGTCAGTTACAGAGAAAAAACAGTAACTTCCATGTAATAAACTGGCACACTTAAAATGACATCCTCCCAAACACATCTAAGACCTAGAAGCAGAGGACACTGTTTACCCAGCCCTAGAAGTCAACAATTATCCAATATTGGAGAGAGAAGCAGGACCAGAGTCAAGGTGGAAGACATTCGAAGATACCCAACCAACCATGCAATAAGAAAGGCCAGGAGCCTAATGACAGACAGAAAACTACTGAATAGTAGAAAATATTTTTTAAATACAAAATATCTTACAAAGTATATAATAACACAAAAATTACAAAACAAGACTATAAGACTAATAAGCAGCTATACATAAATCCCCTTTCTATTCAACCCACTTGAACATCTTTGGAAACCATCTAGGATACGACATATTGGCACCAAAAAGCCGGGGCGGGGCGGGGGCGGGGGGGCAGAGTTACATATTAGGGCAAGGGAAATAAAGCTGCAGTCGTAAGAAAATGGCTTTAGTAAGCTTAGAAATGTACATAATGATTACACAAATTTATATTATTTCTACTGACATAAGCATCACATACAAAACAAAATTTTTGTCATATAAAAATATTGAGACACTGATTTTCAAGCTCCTTATGCTGGACAGGAAGGAGGGAGGAGGAAATAATTAGACTGTCACTTGGTAAGAATTGAGCAAAGAAGAGAAAGATGATGTGCCTCATAGGTAAGTAAGTGAGTGCTGACAAACAGCAATTTGAAAGCAATCCATTCTCCATATACATTTCCTAATAACAAGATATTTTAAATATACAAAAAATAAAAGTACACAAACCAACGTTGGTAACACCAATGCCCTGACTGCCTAGTGTTAACTGACAGTATTATTTACACATGGTGCTTCAGAGTTTAAGAGACAAAATACCATAAACTCAGCTAAAGCCCAACTACCCTAAGCCTTCCCTTGCTCCTCCATCCCTCCGCAGGAATAAGTCTTGTCCTGAAGTTAGAATATCATTCCTGGGGCACCTGGGGGGCTCAGTCGGTCAAGCGTCAGACTCTTGATTTTGGCTCAGGTCATGAACTCAGGGTCTATAAGATCAAGGCCCACACTGGGCTCTATCCTCACCATGCAAAACATGTTTGGGATTCTCTCTCCCTCTCACAAAATAAACAAGCATTTTTAAAAAAGGTTTAAAAAAAAAAAAAACATAAAAAAGAACATATCATTCCCAACCAAGGTAGGGTTCAGCACTGCCATGGATTACATACAATAGTACTCCAGAGAGCTTAATTTCTTTGTTTTCTTCAAAAGGAAGTTTCATGACCTTTTAGGGAAATTCTAGGTAAACATAAGGTGCTTTTATCATTGTTCTCAAGTAGATTTCTATCAAATATCCATTTGAATTTCCAGGAGAACATAAGGATAAAATTACTGTGATGAAATCTATAATAGGTAAACTCTAAGAAAGGTCTTAGATTTCAGGGTTACCTAAAAGCAACTGTTTTCCTATCTAGAGTCCTAACTAAAGCAAAGAAAACCAAATTTTTAACTCTCCTCACCAAATATTTATTAAATGTCTCCAATGTACAGTGCTTGAGAAACAAAAAAATCTGCTCTTCAGATATTAATCACTGTGCTAGCAGCATCAGCATCACACCCAACCTCTGACCTATGGAAACGGAGTCTTCACTGTTGCATGACCCCCAAATGACACAAATGCACATGAAGTTTGAGAAGTCCCAGGTTAGAGAAGTCAGAACGGTGACAACATAGACCAATGAGGAACCAAATCTAACCACCATTCTGCCAAACTTCTTCTCTGCCTATGAGACAACATGGTTTTCAGGTGTTATCGCTGCAAAGTCCCCACATCTGTCTCATGAGACCAGTGGCTATCAACCAGGGCAGACTGGTCCTACCAGAGGACACTGGCAATGTCTGGAGACAGTTTTGTAGCAACCTGGGGGTGCAGGGAAATAGTGCTACTGGCACCTAGTAGATAGAAACCAGGGAAGCCGCTAAACACCTTACAATGCAGAACGCAGTCCTTCCCAACAGTTAATTATCTGGCCCCAAATATCAGTAGTACAAAAGTTTAAAAAAACAAAAACAAAACAAATACTGCCTTGAATTACCAGCTAAAATAATCAATTGTTAACCTCAGGAATTTAATGAGCTGATTTGAGCATCTGTATCCATGGGGGTGGTAGGAAGGATAACCAATAACTAAGGGCATTTTTCATCCAACGCTGTCAAAAGTGTAAGTCTTCCCCAAGAGTTCATACCAATATTCATCAACACGGACAACCATGACCTATACAGCACAAGACACATGTTGTAATAGTTTATAATTATCCAAGCTGAATTTTAATAAGTACATTGCTACCATACGTACTTCTCTACTAAAAACACTTTGGTATTCACTTAATCAATCCTCCATTTTTCTCTTACCATACAGGATCGTTAGAGAAGAAACACTTTGGCCACTTCAAGATGACAAGCACACACTGGACTAAACTGCTTCACTGAAAGGAAACCTATTATACCAGCGCCACCAACCCCGCCAAAGAAAATTTTAAGGTAATTGAAAAATTATCTGGTATTACCCAGAACTGTGTTAATGTCACCAACTTTATAAATAATTCCTCTCTCCAGAGAAAGAACAATTATGGCACACAATTAGGATGGTGGATGGTGGTCCATATGTAAGAAAGATATTGGTCAAGGTGTACTGTTACACAATAGAGGAGTAATGGACCTCAGGCAGATTAAGCATGTTTTTATTAAGGTGAATGATTCTGGAGTGAGCATTGCTTTGTATGGCCTGTATCAGCTAAATTCGGCCCAAAGAGAGAGCCCAAAGTTTAAATGTAATTCTCTACACTTTGAAAATACTTAAAGAACCACAATCCTCAGACCTTATATCGCACTAAGGAACAAGGGCACTCACTTTAAATTAGAATGAATTTGTGGCACTTGACATTCTAGTTGTGCAGAAAATTTGAGAAAAAGCAATTCATGTGCTATTACACTTTAATAACACTTTAAGCTCCATATTCACACATCTTTCAATCAATCCCTGTACAGAAGGCTGCCTGAGACCAAAACCACAAACAGTAAAACATGTGGCTGGAGGACATGACGCCCTACCACAAACACTGCTGCTGAAGAAAAATATTTCAGAGCTTAGATCGGCTCAGGCTTACTGTCAGCTCATTACTCACACAGAGTGTCCCTTTGTCTCTATTGTGTCTAACCAGATAACGGTGCAGGCAACAGTGATACCCTGTTTTTTCCCCGACTGTCACATGTCAAACCTTTCCATCCTAAAACAGAGACTCTTACCTGTGATTGCTTCAAAATAGGCCAGAATAGGAAGAAGGTGTCTGAGGAGAAAGACCCAATCAAGCCTTAAATATTCACAGAATATTTTAGAAGACTTCCTTGCTCTAGCAGGTCATCTGAGTCCGTCACCCTCTTCCATCAAGCTCAAAGTGAGGAGGGGAGCAAGGAGACAATGATGTATAACACAAGGCGTGTATGCTAAGATTCTCAGCACATTCAGGAATCTGAGAACACAGTTCCGGACCCATGGCGTCAGGCTATCAGGAGATAAGACAAATTATTTAGCAGACACACTCTGTGGCAGAGTGAACATTTTAAAAAGAGAAAATGAGGGCCCTTTGCTTACTATCTGAAATTTGAAACAGGCTACAGAAGACCTATAGGGAAGCAAATGACTATGAACTATTACGATCAGAGCCAAGTGTACAAGAAGTAAGTTTCTTCCAGAGGAAGTCCAGGGAATGGCAAAATTGAGTGCCTAGAAATATTTCCAGTTTTGCCATATGGAGGCATGGAGGAAGAGTACACGGAAACAAAGTAGTCTTGTGTAGGAAGCAGTACACAAATTTTGCTTTTACGACTGTTTTATTTGGAATGTGACTGAATTTTATATTCCACATTTCCAAATTCGTCTCACACTTCCTTAATTTTACTAACAACACTCTTCACTCAATGTGGAAACACTGTACTTGGCTCCAAGAATACAAAGATGAGCAAGATACATACTCTGATCTCAAGGGACTCACTGTTCTCCACAGTCACTCTTTCCACAATCCCTGAATACCTGTACATTTCTTAAGAGTAAGGATTTGTATCTTGAATTCCCAGACTGCATGTTCTTTTATTTCACAAATATTTTAACTATCTAATGTCCTAAATATAATGCGAAGAATACAGTGGTAAAAAATAACATGGCCACTCTATGAAGGAGCTTACCGCAGAAGAAAGATACAGATGGAAAGATGGGTGTTGAGACAGGAGAAAGGCCCAGAAGTAAGAGCACACATACATACAAAAGGAGTACAACTCACTCCGACCAAAGCCTGAGAAGGTAACATCTTGTAAAGGAAGTGACATCCAAGCCTACCCTCAAGGATGAAGAGAAGTTAATGAGCCAGGAAGGTAGTAAAAGGCTTTCCATACAAATGAAAGATGGTGGAAAGTTCCAAGGGGAGAGAAACTGTGGAACCTACAAAGGGGTAGATGGGTTCAGGACTGCAGAACTCCTGGCTGAGGAAGCAGAAGTGAGACAAAGAAGGGGCTTCAGTAGGTCAGCGTTAAAGAGTTAGGACTTTATCCTGAGGCCAAGGAATGAACACGAAAGGCTTCCCAGCAGGATGTTAATATTACATACAAGATGTACAGAAAACATTCGCTTTCATGTACCAAATACTCTTTCAAAGAAGTTCTAATCTTTCCTGTGCTCTCAATCAGTCAGTCTGACATCAATGAATATATACAGATTCCCTAACAAAAGAAAGTTTTGGGTAATACCTAGGACAGTACTAGCAATAAAAATATGGTGCAAACTACATATGTAATTTAAATTTTCTAATAGCCATCTTCTTAAAGTAAAATTACATGAAAATAAAATGTACTTTATTTAATGGAATATCTCTAAAACATTATTTCAATATATGATTAATATTAAAATACTGAGATAGTTTACATTCCTTTTTTTGGTGCTAAGTCTGTAAAAATCAGCGTGCATTTTTACACTTACATCACGTCTCAATCTGGACTAGCTACACATTATGTGTTTTACAGCCACATAAGGTTAGTGGCTACCATATGAGAACACATCTAGAATTAACTCGTTTTTTGTTTTTGTTTTGTTTTTTTTTGTTTTTTTTTTTTGTTTGTTTGTTTTTAATTTTTGATCTCACAAAGATTTGCAGTTCAAGCCCCATGTTGAGCTCCACACTGGCTGGGGGGAGGGGAGGGGGAGAGAGAGAGAGAGAAGAAAAAGAAAAAAGAAAAGAGAGAAAAAAAGAAACAGATTCTCTGTCTTTATAGTTTTGTTACTTTTTTGTTTTACCTTTTTTTAATGTTTGTTGATTTTTGAGAGAGAGCGCGCGCGTGCGCGCGCAAGACAGAGACACAGAGTGAGTGGGGGAGGGGCAAAGAGAGAGGGAGACACAAAATCCAAAGCAGGCTGCAGGCTATTAGCCATCAGCACAGACCCCAATGTGGGGCTTGAACCCACAGACTGAGACATCATGACCCAGCCAAAGTTGGACACTCATCCTACTGAACCAGCCAGGCACCCCGGTTTTGTTACTTTTTGAGACTTTATTTAAATGAATACTTTCTCAAACTTTGGAGTTTTAAAAGAAACTGTTCTCGTTTTAGGGAAACACTGACCCCATGACCTACAGTTCTCACACTGTCCTGCCTCTCCCATTTTTCTTTCTTGTCATCTGTATACTCTAGTCTTCCCTTTCCAAAAGGATGGTAAAGAAGAAGGGAGTGAAGAAGGAGTAGCTAATACAGCACTAACACTTAATTTCAAAAATACAACAAATGGTGGTTTGACTATATCCACCGGCCTTTATTATTTGGCCAATTATTCATTAGGTGCCATAAGTCCCCTCGGAGTGACTACTTCCCACTTTCCATTGCTTTCCAGGCCTCCCCCGCAGAAGTTACAGCATGATAAATTCCACCACCATACAACCTCCAAACGAGGCCTGCTCCCAGAACGCCCTCATAACTCAGAGGATCATTCCTGGGCTCTACTTGGTGGTCTTCATCGCGGGCATCCTGCTCAACGGCGTATCTGCGTGGATATTCTTTTATGTGCCCAGCTCCAAGAGTTTCATTGTTTATCTCAAGAACATTGTTGTCGCTGACTTTCTGATGAGCCTGACTTTTCCCTTTAAAATTCTTGGGGATTCGGGCCTGGGACCCTGGCAGATAAACGTGTTTGTGTGCAGGGTCTCAGCTGTGCTCTTCTATGTCAACATGTACGTCAGCATCGTGTTCTTTGGGCTCATCAGCTTTGACAGGTATTATAAAATTGTAAAGCCTCTTTTGACTTCCTTCATCCACTCGGTAACTTACAGCAAACTTCTGTCAGTGACGGTGTGGGTGCTCCTGCTCCTTCTGGCTGTCCCCAACATTATCCTGACCAACCAGAAAGTGAGGACCGTGAAGGCTACGCATATAAAATGTGTGCAGCTTAAAAATGAACTGGGACTTAAGTGGCACAAGGCATCAAACTACATCTTTGTGGGTATCTTCTGGATTGTGTTTCTTTTGCTGATCATTTTCTATACTGCGATCACGAGGAAAATATTTAAGTCCCATCTAAAATCCAGGCGGAATTCCATTTCGGTCAAGAAGAAATCTAGCCGCAATATATTCAGCATCATGTTCGTATTTTTTGTCTGTTTTGTGCCCTACCACATTGCAAGAATCCCCTACACGCAGAGCCAAACAGAAGCTCATTACAGCTGCCATTCGAAAGAAATTTTGCTCTATGTAAAAGAATTCACTCTACTACTATCAGCTGCAAACGTATGCCTCGACCCTGTTATTTATTTCTTTCTATGCCAGCCATTTAGAGAAATCTTATGTAAGAAACTGCACATCCCATTAAAAGCTCAGTATGACTCAGACACTTCTAAAACCAAAAGAGGAAATACAATGCATGAAAGCACAGACACTCTGTGAATTCCCACCTTTCAAAAAGAATCCATGTACACATTTTGCAATCTTAAGTTACATAAGAATAAAAAAGAAACATGTCCATGCTACTAAGTATCAGGTCTAGGCATTACTATCCAATTTAGTAAAATAATAAACAAAACATAACCTCCCCCTGCTTTTTTGTAACTGCAGAGGAAAAAGTAATACACGCATTGTTCAATTTTATTCCATCAAAACAGAAGCTTCCAACTTATAATCACTCATTTGGTCAGTTAATGTAGAAGTTTAATTAGCATAAAATAAAGGAAATAGGAAGCAATCAAGACAATTCACTGGGGAGTGTTCCTTCTCTAAATACAGGAATTTAACTTATGTGGTTTTTTTCAACAGGGTTCCTCAAGACCAACCTAAAAGCAGGCAGAGTTTCATTAAGAACTAGAGGCCTGTTTGGAGTGAAAAAGTCAAATTTTCTCTGATTTCACTTAGGAAATCCCCTACTGATTTATCTCATAGCATTTCAAAGGAAAGTTGATATAAATTCTGTTCTTTGTAGTAAAAACAAAATGTAATACTTTTTCCTGGTAACATTTTGAAGGTAATAATAAGATACATTTTGAATGTTTTCTATCAACACTTACTAAGCTACATGTTGAGCCTGCAGTTCTAGTGTTAAAATATTTTTAAGTGGACTGTGTTGAAGGAAACTGGATATTGGTATATGTTGCCAGCAATTTCCTCTATTGAATGCTATAGCGGGAAAAAAAATATGACTGGTACAAAGACGCACACACACACAAACTAACACACAAACATATACACACAGCATGCATATGCACACATATATCTAGGGGAAACAGTTTTCTCTGAAGGCAACTGGACTTGAAAAAAAGGAAAATCTAAAATTTACAATTATGAGTGAGAAATTACACATGAAATGAAAATCTGTGACATTTTCTGAAAAGGAGATGGATTTAAAGTATGTAGATATGGGATGTGGTTGCTGACTTGTGAGGTATCAAAACTAAATTCTTTCTCTGCTCTGAACTGCCTAGAAGATATCCAGAAAATACCTTCCAAATGTTATTTCCAGACATCGTTGTAGGTCATGTATATATACTTTTTTGCCTTAATGTATATGTACTAATAAAAATGTTATTTTCAATAGTATCAGGGTTTTTTCCTTAAAAATCAAGGTATGAAAAAACAATGACAAATTATTTCATAGTCAAGACATGGGTGGTTTCTTTAATATGCTCAATTATGCATGAAGACAGGAAGATAGGGGCACCTGGGTGGCTCAAGTCAGTTAAGCGACCAACTTCGGCTCAGGTCATGATCTCACGGTTCGTGAGTTTGAGCCCTTGTCGGGCTCTGTGCTGACAGCTCAGAGCCTGGAGCCTGCTTTGGATTCTGTGTCTTCCTCTCTCTCTGCTCTCTCCCCTGCTTGCACTCTCTCTCTCTCAAAAATAGACAAACATTAAACAAAAAAGTTAAAAAAGGAACAAAGTTACGTACAGAATTCAAAAATTTTATTTGCCACTTTTTCAAAATTAATATTTCATATGCTCTGGGACCTCCTCAGCTTTTAGGAAAAACTCAGAAAGTACAACTTAAGTTGAGAAGAATTGGGAAGGTTTTCACTCTCTCTGTCCATCTTCCACCCTGGTAAAAACTCCCTGCTCCCAACTCTGGGTCAAATATCCTCTAAAGAGGACAAAATCACCAACCTATGATAAACATGCTTGGCAAAAATAAACCTGCTATATATGTTTGGCTAACTATCTTTGCAAAAGAAACTGGCTATTTATTCTTCACAATTTCCAAAGGCCAAGACAAACTAGTAAACACTGGTGGTTTTACCTCGCCCCCTACTGGGCCACCGGAGAAAAACGAAAGCAAAGAAGAAATTGAGTAGCACCAAAATACCACCTTTGTAACCAGTGAACTAAAACAGATGGGCGATGTGGAAATCAAGATTTTTCAGGAAACAACATGCAAGCCAGGTGAGGATACAATAAACAAAAACTGATTTAACAGATACTACATACAACGTCCAGAACCACAACAAAAAACATGGTAGATGCGGGTCAACAGTGCATTCACATAGAAACTTCTCTCAGATTACCAGTCCTATTTTCTAAATTATGTTATGAAATGATCTGCTTCTTCTCTGTAGCTAGTTTATAATATGGTTTATGATACATATTTATCACAGAGAGTGTAAAACAGCATTTAATCATATTGTAGAAGCAGCACACTGAAATGGTTAAATTTTAAAAAGTGGCATTAGGAGAAAGTGGTTCTTTTGTGGGGATGTCCTGTCAGGAAATGGTAACTCGCAAGCCCACTAGTATCTTGCAGGGATGTGGTGAGCAAAAAGGTAGTAATAGCTCTTAACTCTGAAGGCCAGTTCCCTCCCAGCCACTCCTCCCCCACACAAAGCTCACAGTGTGGTTTACCCAAAAGGAAATCTCGTCACTGTAGGGGGATGATCTGCTATGAATAGTGGCATCTTTTGATCTCACAGATATTTTCTGTATTAACAAAAATACTTTCATCTTCTTCTTCTTGTCCAGAGTCAAAGGATGTAGGTAGCAGAAAGAAGATTAAGGACAGAATGGAGAACTCATGGTACATATGTTCCTGCCATCCTCAAGTAGAAACAAAAAATTAGTGTTAAGGGTGTTTTCTAGAATTTCAGGGTTAATCTTCTAGGTGAAGGCAATGCATCAGCATTTTTTCATTTGTAGGTGACATACAACTACAACTAAAATTAGACTCCTGTAATGAAAACATTCATTGGCTGACAGACTAAATTTCCAAAGTTGTGGGCATGGTTTTATTTCAGTGCTGATATAGGGCCTCCGTAATGTCACCAAGGCTGGGTTTATAACCCTTTTTTCAGCCACCTTCCATGGTGTTAGTTTCAACTCCTAGGAAGTTGTGGGCTCTTTTTTGTGTGTGGTAGTAAAATGAAAGAAGCACTTCCAGTCTTGAGCCAGCCCTCCAGAGAATTTCTTCAAAAATCTAGTACTTGCTCTCAGTAGGTCAAAGGAGTGCATGTTCCATCCCAACCTTGAGCCAGTGGGGTCAGACATGCGGATTCTCAGTTATGGTCTGAGCCTCCCATCGAGGGGCAGAGTGGGTGCTGTGGCAGCATACGGCGAGACCTGGAGAAAGTGAATTTCTCAGAGGAAAAGCCTCACTTTCACTGCTAGGAAAAGAGTCTGCAGGCTGAGGAGATAACCAACAGGTGAGCACCATGGCGGGGGTGGGGGTGGGGGGGTTGGTAGACAGGCAGACTTCTGTACCGCATGTCTGCTGTCTCCTGTAATCTTATGTGATTATCAGCTCTTTGTTTCTTGCTTCTTCTTATGCAAATATTTCTTTTATATATTAAAAAAAATGCTTTAGAATATAGCTGAGTCAATTATGCATCACAATGGAACTGCACTTTGGTTAAAATGTGAGAATTCTTCTTAATGCGAGATTTTTAGTCAAAGTCAAGAGCCACTTTTGAATACCTTTCTAGTGGATTTCAGCAGTCCACATGTTGCAAAGCAGCTAGTAGCACAGCATGTTCTATCCACAGGTGTGTTTTCTTTTTAATTGCTACCCTAACATTTAAAATTTTTGTGGCTTTGTATTTCTTGAAAACATGGGGAAACAGTCAGCTGGAGCTAACAACCTGTCACAAGTCTTTCTCAGGAGGCACAGGCTCCCAGCTCTCAACTCATTATCATCCATAGCTTTCCCTGTTTTCTATTTTTCTTACAACTGAGTGTACTGCCTTCTTTTCCACCACAGGCACCTGAGTTTATAAGTTGCACTGGGTCTCCCAAGCACTTGAGGACTTGCTCTACAGAGAGACCTGGAAAATAAATGTTCCCTGTTGCCCAGGAGCACTGCGAAGAAGTTTCTGAGTTGACAGGAAAATATAAGAAGCTATGCCACTTCTCTCTCTCCCAGTCCAACAGAAACTGGGGTATAAGCATGAAAAGCAGTGTTATATAAATGGGCCCGTCTCAACAGCGAAATACATGAAAAGTATCTTCATTGACAAAGTTTATGAGACTACTTGCTACTTTTTGAAGGTGCTCCTTATATAAGTCTGACTTCTCTTATGGCCCAAATTAAAATCTCCTCATGACCCATCCTAACCCACTTACCAGTACCTACAGTGCTTTGGGGACCTGAAATCCAAGACTCTGGACCCAGTGCCATCTTGTTCTACTCCCAGCCTCCAGATGTCACCAACTCTAACCCACATATCAGAAGAAGAGCAAAATTATACTCCTTCTCCCTTCTCTCCAAATCCCAGGTCACTGGCAAACTCCTAAATCTCCCTCCAAAGTGCTTGATAAAGTCCTAAGGGCTTACTGTCCCAATCTTCTATCTTCCGAGATAAAAGGACATCGAAATATGGCTCTCGTCATCTCTGAACAACACTGCATACTACTTAAACTAATTTGATAATCCCTTTTCTAAAGGAAAAGATTCTCTACATTTAACTGGTAGCTGTTCTCAAGCTGTTAATTATTTACCTTCTACTTTTTTTTAATGTTTACTTATGAGAGAGACAGAGAACAAGTGGGAGACGGGCAAAGAGAGTGAAAGAGGCAGAGGATCCAAAGCAGGCTCTGTGCTGACAGCAGTGAGCCTGATGTGGAATTCGACCTCATGACCTGAGACGAAGTCAGATGCTTAACCGGCTGAGCCACCCAGCTGTCCCTACATTTTACTTTTTACACCATAGCTTTCTGAAGAAACACCAGCTCTCTCTGACATTTACACATTAAAATGAGAAGTTAATCCTCATTTTGTTTTGAAATAAAGGCCAATTTCAACTCCATATGAAATTCACCTTCAGTTTAAAAATCAATCCCAATACAAAAAAAAACAACAAACAACAACAACAACAACAACAAAAACACACAGAAAACTTGCACTGCCAAGACCAAATGTATCTTCATAACTGGTTAATGCTATGAAAGTAATTAGATAAATAAAATGGAAAGCTATTTTTGATAGGAAAATCAGGACTTCCACCAACGTTATTCAAAGTAAGAGCTCAAGTGTTTTTAAAATTACACTGAGTATGAACTGGCTTTGCACAGCATGAGAAATCATCAACCAAACAAAAGCCAATCTACTAAATGGAAGAAAATACTTGCAAACAATATATCCAAAAAGGGATTTGTATCCAAAATATAGAAAGAATTTATAAAATCCAACACCAGGAAACATGATTAAAAACTGAACTGAACAGCCATTTTTTCCAAAAAAGACATACAGATGCCCAATAGACACGTGAACATCACTCAACATCTCTGCTCATTTAAAAAAATGGAAATCTTTCAAAAGAACAATTAAGGGGACACCTGGGTGGCTCAGAGGTTAAGTGTCCGGCTTTAGCTCAGGTCATGATCTTGCAGTTCATGAGTTCAAGCCCTGTGTCCAGGCTCTGTGCTGACAGCTGGGAGCCTGGAATATGCTTGGGATTCTGTGACCCCCCTCTCTCTCTGCCCTTCCTCACTTGTGCTCTGTCTCTGTCTCTCTCTCTCAAAAGATAAAATGTTAAAAAATTAAAAAAAAAAACAAACAAGAACAATTAAGGGACACCTCAGGGGCATAGTCAGTTAAGCATCAACCTCCTGATTTCAGCTCAGATCATGATCTCCGAGTCACAGGACTGAGCTGTCACATGGGGCTCTATGCTGTAAAAAGGGGAAAAAAAGAAGAAAATGACCAGTGTTGGCAAAGATGTGTCAAAAAAGGAATCCTCATGCAAGCATGGGGATAAACTGGTACAGCCACTGTGAAAAACAGTACAAGTTTCCTCAAAAAAATTAAAAACAGAAATGCCAAATGATCCAGCAATTCAACTACTGAGAACTTACTCAAAGAAAATGAAGACACTAATTTGAAATGACATATACACCCTATATTTATTGCAGCATTATTTACAATAGCCAACATATGAAAGTAACCACAGCATACATCCATAGATGAACAGATAAAGATGTGGTGTATATATACAATGGAATATTACTCAACCATAAAAAAGAAGATTTTGTCATTTGCAACAATATGTATA